CCCCACTCGAAAAAGACCAACGCCGGTGGTTGGTTAGGAATTGCGTTGGGGCTCCTGGCTTGGCTTTCGCTGCTGCTAAGACGCCAGAATCCGATCAAGTTTTCGTATTCGTGTAGCGTTTTGTAGAGATGCTTGAACGAGATCATACCAGAGCCCCATTTTTTGATTTGGGTCTTGGATCCCCATCGACGATCGCACATTGAAAACCATAGCTTGGAGTCGCTCCGGCAGACGGAGAGGAATTGCTTTGAGGTGCAGGCGAATGAGGAGATCTCGGATGGAGTGAGGAAAGACAGGATGCAGAGCTGAACGTCTTCGGGGAAGTCGGAGAAGGAAAGCACCGGTATGATTGTTTCACCGGCATCAAGATTGGCCATTTGGTTGTTGATTTGGGATTCTAAAGGAGGAACACACGATGTTACGGTCCTTGATACCAATTTGCTTCCTCGGTTATCTGTACAATCCGTGCATAAATTGGATAAATTGTGTTCCCGGAAGTCCGAGAGAGATTAAAGATCCTCAATTTTCAGAATTTGCATTTAGATCTCTATAAAAGGAGTAAAATGCAAGAAGTTTCCTTGTTTTTTCCTAGTTATACTCATAGTTCAAATGATACTCTTATTTTCTTTCAAAAAGGTCCAGTGGCAGGTTTTCTGATTTTATTTTGTTTACACTAAAAAAAATTATTTTTCAAAAAATACCTAAGTTTTATCCATTAAAATAATTTATTTTAGACCTTATCAAATCACCAACACGTAAATGGAGTTTTTTGTTTTTTTCATAAAAAACCCTACATTTTTTGTTTTGACCTAAAATGTTTTTTTTTTCAAAATAAACTTAACTTTAACTTATTCATTAATATTTCATTAATGGAATCGGTTACCAACTAATAAACTTATATTCTCTAACTCATGTGCACCCTACGCATCAATCACCTAAAAATGATTGAATCTAATATGCTAGGTCACATTTCTGCCTTTTCATTTTCTTGTTCATCATATTGGGTCTACTTTCAAGCTACGAAGGTAAACTTAATAATGAATGTTGAAAAAAAATATTTTAATTGTGAGGATGAAGTTCTTTATTTACCACATATCCCAAGGCTAAATGTGTACATATATCGATTTTGATTTTTAAAAATTAGTTTAAAAAGAGTTGATTTTGTCTAGGCCTATTTCGGCTATAAGCGGTTTGGTTTTTTTAAGTGAAATTATGTAAAAAGCCAATTTTTCTAGTTAAAACAGGTTCGTTCGGTTATAGTAGAAAAATAAGGGAAAAAACCAATTTCAAATAGTTATTAAAACCTATTCTGAATCGATTTTTAAAAAAAGCGATTCGGTTTTTTATGTTTCTGCCTTTTCTTTTTCTTGTTCATCATATTGGATCCACTTTCAAGCTATGAAGGTAAGCTTAATAAGGAATGATGAAAATGAATGTTTTTATTGTGAGGATGAAGTTCTTTATTTACCATATGTCCCGAGGCTAAATGTGTAAATATATCAGTTTTGGTTTTTAAAAATTAGTTTTAAAAAAATTGATTTTGTCTAGATCTATTTCAGCTATAAGCAATTCGGTTTTTTAAGTGAAACTATGTAAAAAGTCAAATTTTCTAGTTAAAACAGGTTCGTTCGGTTATAGTAGAAAAATCAGGAAAAAAAACAATTTCAAATAGTTTTTAAAACATGGTTCGGTTTTTACTTCAATTAAAAAAAAATAGTTTGAAATGCGTACCTTTACCAAATGTTATATTCACAAGATTAATTTTGTTTTCAAATGATGCCCCCGACACTATTTTCACAAGGTTTAATTGTATGTTTATTTTAACAATCCTATGAAAATTTTGCAAGTAAGTTGCTATTTTTTACCTTTAATCCCATTTTGTCTCAAGTATTTATCAATATTTTTAAAATAAGTACTAAATTTATTTGGCATTGTATGAATGGAGGATCTTCGACATTAGCTATTTTTTACCAATGAAATCACATATCTTCGACATCATATAAATGGAGGAGCTCTAACTTTAGCTTCATTTTAGAGGTTACAAAGGTAAAAAAAAAAAAACTAATTTTTTTTACCTTTGTAACCTCCAAAATGAAGCTAAGGTTTGACAGTATGAGATCCTCAATCCATATAATGTCGAAGATATGTGATTTCATGTTGAAGGTCACACACATAAAAAAATAGCTAATGTATGAGATCCTCCATACATACAATGCCGAATAAATTTAGTATTTATTGTAAAACATTGATAAATACTTGATACAAGATGGGCTTAAATGTAAAAAATAGCAACTTACTTGCAGCATTATCCCACTCATTGTTAAAATAAACATACATTTAGACGTTATGAAAATATATTTGATTGGAAAACAAACTCAACATTGTGAAAACAACCTTCTGCAGAGGTACATATTTCAAATGATTTTTTCTAACCAAAGGAAGAAACCGGTTTTTTCCTTATATTCTACAATAACCTAATCGAACTGATTTTAACTGTAAATCCTTTTTTAACGCAACTTCACTTAAAAAACCAAAAAAAAACAAACCATTATAGACATAATCGGTTTTGTTTTAAATGGATTTTTTTTTTAAAATTCAGTTCGAAACTGATATATGTGCACATTTAGCCTTGGGACATAAGGTAACCGACTCAATTAGTGAAATAATAAGGAATAAGTTAAAGTTTGGTTTATTTTGAAAAAATAGGTCCAAAACTGAAAAAATGTCAAATATAAGGTCTTTTATGAAACAAAAAAAAAAATTTATATGTGACATGTTGGGGTCTGAAATAACAATTAACGAGTAAAAGTTTGGTCTTTTCGAAAAAAGAAAAAAAAAATTAGGTTTAAAAACAAAAAAAAAATCAAAATATAGGATCTTTTATGAAAATAACCCCTTAATTTTACTTATTTAGTCTATGTGTCTAACATGTCAAATTTAATTTGTTGAATAGTTGATTATTATGCCAGCATGTGATCTATACACTATATAAGAAATATTTTGTTTTCTAAAAATATATTCACTATAATAATAATATAATTCTAAGTCATCCAAATCTTTACGTTGAAAGTACAATCAACCACCAATAAAATAATATTAAATTTCCATGTAACTTCCCAAAAATATAGAGATTTTTCATTTTTAAATGTATTAAACCATTCAAATACCATTTCCTCAAAAGATAAACAGAGTAATAAATTATTGTTTCAAAACATCAGAGTGAAAATCATAAAAGCAAATAGTGTAGAATCTTTAGTGGATGTGATGCAATCAAGTTTAGCTCTTCGTCTTGCTACAAGAAGTACCTAAAACATTTAATCTTAAAACCATATGCACAAAGCTCAGTAAGTTCCCCAAAATACCACATATCATACAAGTAACGACTTATTTCATCCAATGGGTCCATCCCAATAGTCTATTTCAACCAACAAGTCACTTTTTACCCAACGATCTATTTCAACCAACGATCTATTTCAGCCAACGGGTATGTTTCAACTCAACGGTCCACCCCGTAGGAACTATGAGATTACCCCAAGGACGCCTTCGGTATCCAGGGGTCACGGACCGACCATAGAACCATGTTCAATAAGTGGAACACATTAGTTGTCCGCTCTCAGGTTGGGCAATAAGGGTCGGAGAAGGGCAATCACTCATTTTTAAAACCAGCATTCTTAAGGCCAAAGAGTCAGTGGAAAAGGGGGGAAAGCTCTCCGTTCCTGGTTTCCTGTAGCTGGATCCTCCGGAACCACAAGAATCCTTAGTCTATTTCAACTAATGATTTATTTCAACCAATGGGTCTGTTTCAACCCATGTGAATGTTATGGTCCACTCATAGTCTTACAATCACATCCATTGCTATAGTAAACCTGCAATCTTTCCCGTCATGGTCCACCCATGGTCTTTCATGTAAAAGTCACAAAGACAATCTACCATCCTACATAGTATAGTGAGAAAACTCCCATTTCGGTCGAAGTAGACTAACACCACAGCTTGCAAGAAAGTAAAGGTTGATACTACCCACCACCTAAACATTAATCAAAAGGTCAAACCTCAGTCTACCACCTTGTCTAAAAGTCAACATGGTCAAATTTAACCATGCAAACCACTACCGTAGTCACGCTGTGGTTTGGAGCAAACTGAAAACATGATGGATCTACCCACCGTATCATGGCCAGCCTTTGACCACATCGTGGTCACACTGACAGATAAATCATGATATCCGAGAGTATAGATTATCTGTTCATTCGAGTACTCTACCCCTGGTTGCCTTATTAGCATATATTGTTAAGGAATCCCCGAGGTAGTATTTTCTACTCGTTGTTACAGTGATCCTATAGGATAGGTCCCTTGAGAATAACGGGAATGCGTAATCGGGTGAATTGTTTGTTGTGAAATATATAATTGAAACACGTATGGTAATAATATTGTGGGTTAAAAACTCTATGTGCTCATCAAACTTCCCAGCCTGACCTACTCATTTTCTTTGTATCAGAGGTAGCGGTATGAAGGTACAATGATAGTGATGAGAGATTTGAGGAGTTTAGGCCATTAGTACACTAAGTTGTTGTAAGACTTGTAATGACTATGTTTATGCTTATGTTTCTTGTATCGGTTATGACATCCCAGATTTTTATATATTAATGAAAACCATTTCTTCGGAAATGCTTTGATATTGATATTACCACACATTAAAATAATGTTTTGGGATAAGTTCCGCGCAAAAAAAAAAAAGATATACTTTGTTTTAAATAAGCATAAAGAAAAATGTCTTTTCAGACTGCAAAATTGAGGATGCCACAACATCGGTCAACAAGTTCATACTATTACGCTTAAATAGTATTGGTGATACAAATCACAAGCAATCTATTCTCTTCTTAGTTCGATTTGTGGTTTGAAAATTTACAAATGCTTTAATTGTTGTCACTATGAAGAACAAAGCTTAGGGCTATGGTGTTGGAGATCCGGTTCAAAAGAGAGAGAAAGATAGATGAAGATGAAGAATGATGGATGAAAGGGGTGAGACAAGAGATCGTGATGTCGGTGGCGATGAAGATGCCGTCTCGGTAAGATCGCAAACTCATATCCAAACCGTTGATTGAGACGATGTCGACAAATGAGAGATGCAATTGTTTTTAGCAGAGGTGGAGGTGGTTTCTAGCGGCTTCTACAACCACCCAAAAACACGGGTAGGGTAGTGGATGGGTGGGAGTAGGGCCCATTTTTTAAAATCACAAATAACAAAAAATAATATTAGATTAACCAAAAAATAAATACAAAAAAGTATTATGGTCATTTAAAGTCTATGATGGACCAAATCGACGATCTATCATCATACATGTTCAAAGTTATCAAGTTAATTTTAAAAAATAAAAAGTGAAGGTAATTTTTCACACATGAACTTTGCAATAAGTGCGATTCGTGTAATTTACTCCAGGGATAATGAATTAAAAGGGTAATATATTATTCGATTTGTACACATTTGATCACTAAGTTTATTTTTTGTTCACATTTATCCCTTCAACTTGTTAAACTGTACACATTCAGTCCTTATGACCGGTTATTGCAGGTTAACCGGTAAAAATGTCTTAATTGGGTAATATATTTCTCATTTTGTACACATTTAGGGGCTGTTTGGTAGCCTCTTAATTGAAAAATTAAGAGGCAACCTCTTAATTATTCATATTAAGAGTGTTTGGTTGGGTATGAATAAAAGCCTCTTAATCTTTTGACAGCCTCTTAAACTTTCAGACTTCAACTCATATCTGAAAATAAAAAAAAATGCGGTGTTCCCTCGTTTGCCCTCGTACGCCCGTCCATCAAACACACACCCGCCTCCGATCTCCTCCCAAATCCGACCATCTCCAGCGCCGATAATCTCCTCTCACCTCCTCCGATCGTCGATGTCGCATAGCATCGCCGCCCCCATCGTCGATCTCATACAGACGAGTTTCTCACAGCTTCTGATATTGACTCCTACCACCAAGGTCAGACCTCCGAAGTTCAGTGCTGGTATCCTCCCTCGACAGCGCCGGCGACCGCCACTGAACCTCCATCACACACCAGGTTTGTTTTCTCTCTAATTTTCCAAAAATCAATTTATGTTAAATCTATTCTTGAAATCGTTTGAAGACAGATGGTTTTTAGGGTTGTTAGATCGTTTTATTGAAATCTACACTTGATGATAGAATCCTAGCTGTGATTTATCTAACAGATGCCAAGGCTATAGCTCCTGAGGTGTTGTCTAACAAAGGGTATGATGGAGGGACATCTGATACTTGGTCTTGTGGTTTCATCTGACTCATCATGTATGCAATGCTTATAGTGTATCTACCTTTTGATGATAGAAACCTAGCTGTGATTTATCAGAAGGTAAAAATGTATAAAGTTGTAATCTTTATTAATTCTTTAATGTTGTAATGATTTGGGGTTTTTCTAGATTTGCAAAGGGGATGTGCGAATGCATAAATGGATGACTCCAGGAACACAGAGTCTTATAAAGAGAATTCTTGATCCATACCGGAAAACAAGGATAACAATGACATATATTAAAGTAGATGAATGGTTTAGATAAGATTACACTCCTGCAAAACCTAATGAAGATGATGTTTTGTCAATACAAGAGAATGTAAGAAATCAAATGCTACTTTTTTTATTTTGAAAAAAGTTGAAACTTTTCATCAAGTTCTTGAATTTTCTTGCTGCAGGTTGTAGAAAATCAAGAATTATCTACCCATGTCAATGCTTTTGAGCTCATTGGAATGTCTTGGAGCCTTGATCTCTCGGGTTTCTTTGAGAAAGAAGTAAAGATTTTGATTCGATTTTTAATTATTTTTTTTAAGTTTTGAAAAAAATATTGTACTTGATACAAAGTTACAAACACTGTTTGACATCAGAGGATGTATAAGTTATGGTAGTTTGTAAATTTGTTTATAAATCCTTATTTATGTTGTAGTTTTAGAAGAGTTAAATGCATAATGTAAGAATAAACTTGCATTTTTATGCATAATATAAGAATAACTTGCTAAATTTGGATTTTATATGGTGTTTATATATTTTTTAATACGTATTTAAGAAATTTATTAGGTTATTTTCTAAACAAATAGTTGAATTCAATAAAAAGTAAAACAAAAGGGTAAAATAGTCATTTTAATGATTCAGCACAACAATTCAGAGGTCCCAACCAAACAGCATGTTAAACATTCAACTCTTAAAATTTCAGACCCTCTTAGAAATTCAGATCTTTTAAAAATTCAGATCTTAAAAATTCAGATCCTGCCAAACAACCCCTTAATCCTTAATATTTTTGTGCACATTTAGTCATTAATTTTTTTTTTTCGCAAAATAATTTATTTTTATTTTTGTACTCATTCAATACTTATGAATGTTTTCTTCAAGTTTTTCTCACAACATCTTACATGGAACAATCATTAACGATGGTGTTTTAGGCTTTTGATGCTTATGTCCATCGCGATCTCGACTACTTGGTTACTTAGGTCATGTGTTTTGAACGTCATAACTTTTTCATATTATCTCAGATTTTAACGATCTTTATATATATGCGTTTGTATTTTAGTCTACTACAACTTTCGTTTATATTACTCCCGTTAAAAAGTAATATATTTTTTAATTACAATCTTTATATCCATATGTTTTTTATGAATGCATGTATGAATGTTTTTTTTTTAATAAAATCATAAGTAAAAACATGTTATATTCTAACGGGAGTAATGTTAACGAAAGTTATAGCAAACTTAAAAATGAACACATAGATATAAAGATCGTTAAAATAAGATATTGTATGAAGAAGTTACGAAGTTCGGAATACAAAACCTACGCCAAACTACAATACATATGCAACCAAACAGTCGAGATGCAATGGACATAAGCATTAACATCCCCAAACACCTCATCAATCAGGGACGGACGCAAGATTTGGTAGTAGGTGTCATCGGTCCGTAGTAGATGTTGCCGGTAAGTAGAAAAAGATATATATATATATATATATATATATATATATATATATATATATATATATATATATATATATATATATATATATATATATATATATATATATATATATTGAAAAATATCGAAAAATTTACACTGCGTAAAGAAAAAACAGTGGTTGTCGGTGTCACTGCAGGCACCTAAAGAAAATCGTCTTTGTCATCAATGATAGTCCCATGTTAGATGTCATGAGAAAAACCCTAAATAAATCATTCATAAGTACTGAATTGGTACAAAAACAGAAAATGACTTATTTTAAAACAAAAAAAAATTATTAAGGATTAAATGTGTACAAAAATATTAATGATTAAATGTGTACAAAATAAAAAATATATTACCCTAATAAGTTATTTTTTTCGGCTAACCTCGAATAATCGATCATAAGGATTGGATATATACAGATTAACATGTTCTAATGTGGACGAAAAAAAAATTAAAAAATGTATATAATGAAAAAATATATTACTTATTATCCCTTTACTCAACCCATTTAGTTAAGTATTCTTGTTTCATTGCAATTGAGAAAGAAAGTTGGCATGGAGGTCGAGGGTTCTTCGCTTCCTTCCAACTACGTCACGATCCTGCAGCTCAAAGAGCGATGGCTCCAACAACAACACCAAAATCCTGCAAAATCCAAGCCTCATGACGATGAAGCTAGTTGTCAACCAAGCGGCGAAGCTGCACTTAGACGCGTTCCTCTTCAAAGACCAAATCGCCCTCGGGTCATTAACCAAGTCATACCGGAGGTTGCCGTAGATGATTGTGGTTCTAAAACTCAAGTTGATGCTGCGGATAATCATCCAAAGGGAGAGGAGGAGCAGAAGACTGATCACTCAAACTCCAAACTCTCAAAGAAGAAAAATAGGTCCCGAGCTCCAAAACCTAGGTCGGGCACCGACCAAAATCCAAACGGAGGTGGCTCCCCACTGTTGGTATCAGAAGAGGCGAAGGAGAATAAAAGAACCCAGCACGTAGGTGGACGCCGGCGTCGGCATCTGGTCTGTGAACCCAATGACAGAATGACAGTATTTGCTCAGAGTGTGGACGACTTATCGCACAGTGCTGCTCGTGGTCATGGCGTCGTCGAGGCTGTTGCCGCTACTGTGCACGTCCCTATTGTGAGCGAGAGAGCAAATAGAAGATCGGGTGCAGGAAGATACCAGGGAAAACCAAAACCCAAGCCTTCGTCGGATCAGAATGTGGTCTGCGAACCTAATGACAAAAGGACACCATTTACTCAGAATGTGGATGACTTATTGCACAACGATGCTCGTGGCGATGGTGTAGTTAAAGATGTTGTTGATTCTGATGTGAATGTCCCCATTGTGAGCCAGGAAGCAAACAGAAGAGGGGGTGCTGGAAGATTCCAGGGCAAACCAAAACCCAGACCTAGTGAATCCTCCTTTTTGGCGAGGAAAGGGAAAAACTCCCTCGTATGGGTTAAAAAAGGAGAATCTTCGACAAATTGATAACGCCAAGCTCCCAACCTCTGGTATATCTCTAGTCCTGTTGTTAATTGGTTCTTGAAAAAATTACTTGCGATATGTATTTCTAGTGTTTTTGGATAAATACCAACACCAAACTTATCAAAAACAACCAAATTTTACAAGTGCTAAATACTTCTTGAGTCAGGGTAAGATCAACAATCTTCTAACTATGAACAAGTAAAAGGCAGGAGAGAGAGCATAAACTTGAAAAATATTCAGAAACCTGGCAAGAAGCCCTTAGAGTAGAACAAAAGGTAGGCTTGAATCGTGAGTCTAGCCCTTCCTCCTTAGACAATCTTTTGGCTTTCAGTCTCACTTTTGGAGAAGTTTGCCATCAATGGATCATCAGAGTTTGGTCTTACTAGTAAACTGTCTATGGAGTCGATTCATTGCCCTCTTCCATCTCTGTAGGAACATTAGACACTTACATTTGCCTAGATACAGTTTTGACTTTGTTCTGGTTCATCAATATCCCCTTTTTGTCATCTCACACTCACACATTCCTATGAGATGAGTTCACTTGGGGAACATTGAAACATGCCATTCCCAAGAAGGACAGGGAGGTCATGCTCAAACCTGAACATACCATAAACCATCAAATAAAAAAATCTATTACCAATATTCCATATTTAGGATAAAGCCATCAGAGACTATACACATCTTCAAAAATTCATCATTACTTTTGCTAAACTAAAACATAACCTCTTAGATGGAAGCCAGTCTTCCATTCCTTGCTCCTTGATTTTCTTTACCCAACACAAAGAAAGAAATATAGTTGAGTACGAAATATAACCAAGACTAAGAAAACAATCCTAACAAACTAAAAAATGAATCACCATAACAAAATGTATCCTTCAGATGCAAATACATACATGCACATTGCATGAGGTGCCAAAATCATATTATATCATTTATAATATACTACATTGGATCCACAACTTCAAATAATACAAAGATACACCCAGTTTTGACTGAACAAATCAAAATTACACATCAAATGAATTTGAGGAGCTTGAATCACTATAATATCAGGGTATTATATATATATATATATATATATATATATATATATATATATATATATATGTAACTCTTACAAATAGATATCATGTCACTTAGTGACATGTGTTGTGACCATAGTGATCATAGTTGTGATTCAAAAAACAATTGTTACCATCTGAGTGTGGTTACATGTGTTGTGATTTAACAATACATAACATTCTGATGGGTAATAAATGATATGGATTACCAAATGTGTGATTAAGAAAACAGTGAACACAACGAGGGTTTTTTCTCTTTTGATTTCTTTATTAACCATGATGATGAATTTTAAAAAATCCAAATATTTTACTGAAAAATAAATCAAGTTTGAGAATGTTATAACTCTTAAAAGAGGCGTTGGATGCTATGGCTCTTATGCATTAATGATAGATTTTGGAATGTTTTTGTTTAAGTCTAAGTAAAGTTTCAATGCTTTGTAACAACTACCTTTGGCCACAGTCTAAACGATGAACCTAAGAAATCAGATAAATACTAATCTTAGAATTAGCCAATGGTGAATTTGTTTAAAGTAAGGAACTAATTTGTTTAAAAAAGCTCAATAATCTCATTGAAACGCTAGTCTAGTAACTTTTTAAAAAGCTAGTTTAAAGCTACTTTTTTGTTTGCCAAACATGACAACCTAAAAAAGTTTGAAAAATAAGGTAGCTGTGGCGTGCCAAAGATAGACTTAGTCACAAGCTATCATTTTTTACCATTTGTTTACATCCTTTAGCGTTTAAATTGGTAAGTTTGTTACATAAAATGTTTAAGAGAAGTATGTTGCATGGTTGGTAGTGTGGTGAAAGTATATTGCATGTTTTCGCAATTAGTCCCAAATCAGAACTGCACTGTGAATTTTAGAAATCAGTTTTGCTTGAGATGATGTGGGCCATGCATGCTTATGATGAAAACATAATGATATGTTTAGCAGCATCATGAATGACCAGACCACAATAAAGTAGGATATGCAAACAAAGAAAGTAAATCATTATGCAGAGTAATGTGTACTTCCAGGTTATTTCTTAAAACATGTAATAAAATCATTTAGCACATAAATAATCCACTTACCTTGTTCTGTTTTTTTTAGATGCAATGTAATGCAAGTGAAGCACTTTGTTGACCTCTAATATAGTTATTCCCATCTTGCCCTTGGAGAATATACATTCTTTAGCATCCCCAGTCTGGTTCTTGTCTCTTGATCAATATGATGGATTGGATGTGATAAAGGTGGCTTGAGATTTTTGATCTTGGGTTAATTTGGTAATGGAGATAAGATTGCGTGACATGTTTGGAACATGCAATTCAGTTTTTTTTTTTTTTTTTTTTCATGCACAAGGTTTATCTGCTGAAAATAAAATAGAATTTGCAGTCCTGATGTGATCATTAGCAATTGCTCTAGTCTTGTCTCACTAAATAGTAAATATAAATATTTCAGCAGGGACTTAGATGGAAAAGTTTTTATTAACAAATATATTTGTGATCTCTGGATTCAGGTACGTTTATATTGCAAGACGGTGGTCAGCCAAGGAAAAAGGGAGATGTAGCAGAAATTACTAATTAACTGAATGGAATGGATTGGATTTATCGTCCCTTTGTTGATAGCATTTGTGCAACCATTTTACCATTTTACTAGCATGCTAAATCCCTAATTGCGATCCTTGGCCCATAGGGACCTTTTTTTTGTTTATCTCTTTCACTAAAAAAATCCATACCCATTCCGAAAGAGAAAAAAGAAAAATTCAACTAATTAAATACCCAACAGAAAAGAGTAAGGTTAATTTTCTTTTCTTTTTTCATATATCATCATCGGTCAAACGGATCCCTAATCACATTTTTAAGCTATCATGAACACAGCAGATGATGGTGACGGATTGGACACAGTGGTGGTGATGGACAAAAAATAATGACAAAATTGCAAAAACGGTTCCTGTGGTTGGCAAAATTTTGCAGTTTTGGTCCAAAATGATACCTTGGTGCACCTATGGTCCAATTTTGGATTTTTTTTTATTGTTTTTAGTCCCTACACACTTAAAAAGATGATTATGCCCTTATATATATATAGTTTTTTTATTTTTTAATTGCTGAAATACATAAATTAATTTAATTTTTATTTTTATTTACATTTATTTGTTTTTTCTCCCTCAAAAACACACACACCGGTGAAAGAAACGAAGAAAGAAACAGGGACAGCCAAGTGCTGCCACCCTCAACCACCCACCGGTGACCCCTCATAGCTGTGAACCACCACAAATGGCCACTCTCTATCTCCCTCTTGTATTGTAGAATCCATTGCACCATCCACCCTTCACGTTTTCTGTTTTCCTTCTTTCACTACCAAGAACAACCACCACCAACGCATGGTGGTGGTGGTGTTGTGATCACCAAACATCACTAGGAACCACCTCTTCTCACCAGTTTTGCCAATCAGCAACAACCTAAACACACCCTTTGACCACTGCTACCTCCCCTCTCTCTCTCTCCCTTGCTTATTTTCTCATATAACAATAGCCCCACAAAATTGGCATCAACCTCCTAAGAACCACTGGTTGCTACCCTGTCTTTCCCCCTGTGATGAAGAACAAACACCAACCCTCACTATGAGATCTTGACAAATGAAAACAATTTGTTTCTTATTGCTATCAATCAAAAGCACAAAGAGTCATCTAAAACGATTTGTAACTGTTGCACACACCAATTGTTCGGTAGATTGCTCCAAAGAATAATTATCTTCTAAAATGTTGTTTTTTGATTGGATTTGTTGTACATATTGTAAACCTAAATGTGCGTATCGACGCTCTGCAACATCATACAAGAAGCCATGGGAAGGGAGGTGGAGAGGTTGGTAGAAAAACGAAGAAGAAAGGGAGGGAAAGGGCAAATCGGAAACAACATAGCAGGATGAGGTTCGTGGGTTTGCTCAGCATGGTGCGGCGGATCAGTCACACAGTAGACCCAAAATGCATGATTGTTCTGTTCAGTTATGATATGTTATGCGTGGTATATGTGGTTGGTATTTTGGGGGTATCTCACTAAGTTTTCGGGCTTACAGTTGTGGTTTAATGTTTTTCAGGTACTTCAGGAGACCGTGGCAAGGCGAAGACGTGATCGTACCGCTCCTCATGTTTATGTTTTATGTTATGGTTCTGGGAATACTCTGATAATGAATGTATTGAAAACCTTTTTGTAATAACTTAATGAAATTGGGATGTTTTTTGAAAAGTTTAAATTGACTTGAATTTTAGAGTGTTACAATATTCTTATCCATCTGTTAACCACTCAATCTCCGGCTGCAATCCTTGATCCGATCTTAATAACCGCTTTCATATTGAGTCTCGTGACTCTATCGGCGCTACCTCGGGTAAGGCCTTCGAGACCTCACATTCAACTAACTCACATAGATTTGCACCCTTCAAAGCACCCTTCAAATCCAACCTGATATGGCTACCAATGCCCAAACCATTACAAGACCTATCCTCAACCTAAACAACCATAACCAAAAGATCGACAGATATGAAACATTGCTACGAACAACGATATCAAACCATGCCACCTATCCTCAACTAGCTCCTTAGAGTTCTTGTGAATTCCCTTTATTCGAGTATGGATCATGTGCTTCTAGTAGTACGGATCCAATACTACCTTCCACACCTATCCATACTTTCCTCAAGAGTCAATCTCGAGTCCTCTAAGCCACTTACTCATAATAATACTCCCAATACATGCTAAACAACGTATCACCCGCACTAAAGCACTTCCTAGGCTATCTTATGATCCCGACCATCATCTGTTGTAGAACCCCTATTAGTGTCAGTTAACCACTTCATTAATACAATTACATGCAACAAAACTTAAATAATCTTTCAACTAAAAGACCCAACCCTATAACAGTTAGACTCGGAATAGAGTTGCACAATAGGGTCGAATCCATCATTCTAAAATTATTTAACCTTTGTAGCATGTAAATTAACGTATTCATTTAATAGTTATCTCACATAAATATGAGTCCTACAAAGCACCAAGCAAGCAGCATTCGAGCAGTGAAACCAACTGGCACTAAGACATCATAAGATTAGGTAGATTCTTACACGCAATCCAGGACCACTATGCCCAAACACCAAGGATACACGTACATCCTGCATCTACTCTCCCAAGAGTGGCTAATCATTCCTCACGTTAGCTTGCTATATGCCGTACTCACTCATGAAAATTCCACTAACCCTACAGTCACTTGTGCATTCTGATCATATATAACGCTAGATCCCATAGACAGTCGAATACCTGATTCAACCCTAACCCCTTTATTACACAAGAATAGGAAATAAGGTTATATCAAAGATTCTCAGGCTATAAAATCCAAGTTATGTACAACTATAATGCTTACATTAAGCAACTATAGTAATGATGTCAAGTTCATCTAGCATATAAAAAATTCTCCTAGGCTATTAGGCATCATACATCAGACAATTCTAGAATGCAATTCCTGAAGATCCCTAGCCTACTACTAAGATGCAGTTCTATCATAACCATCCCAAAAAATAACAGTGTGGGTAACTTAGGGGTACACTTTCTTGATCTGGCTGATCGTACACATCTCACCCTTATTTGGTTACCTTTAAAAACAATTTAGAGCACAACTTTGATACAAATTTGAAAACAATTTGAAAATTTCCACAAATCCTTAGCTTGAGATTGGATTCACACAAATGCTCATCCATTTCACTCAAACCACGGCTCTGATATGAACTTCAAACAACCCAAAATCATGGTAAATTTTTAATTTTTAAATTAAGATAAATCGTTGTTTTCAAACAAAATCCATATCAAAACCAAATATCAACTACAATATCCCAAGATCATTATATCATAAAATCTTCCAGAAACATGTCATCGAAGGATGTGTACGGTCACGCCTTTGCTTTCCCCCGATCATATGAAGTACCTAAAACCATAACAATCAAACTATAAACATGAAGCTTAGTGAGTTCCCCTAAAATATCACCACACAAACATATAACAACATGCATATTGGGTCCACAACTAACAGACCGGATTACCCCTGAGCCCACATCATGAGTTTGGCTTGCCTTCCAACCCACAACTCAAGTATGGCTTGCTCTCGAGCCCACATCATAAGTGTGGCTTGCCTCACTGGCCAACATCATAAGTCTGGCGTGCCTTACTATCCCATAACTTATGTTTGGCTTGCTCCCAGGTTTGTTGGCTTTCGTACAGAGTAGGATTGCCTAAAACCAACCATAATATGTCGGTATATACATAACAGATAACATATATCCATCAAACAAATAATCATATAACTAATCATACAAACAAGTTGATCTACAAATCACAACCGCATAACAACATCCTATATACTATGACACAAATCTAACAGATCACTACAACATAGCAACATCCTCTATATCACGATACATAACCTAGAGTGCCAGCATTGTTGCCTTTGACCCACAACTACAATGAGGAAAACTCACGTAAATCGAAGAACCTTGCAACACTGCTATACGATCGCTATACTATGCCCAAACATCAAGGATACACATACATCCTGCATGTACTTTTGCAAGAGTGGCTAATCATTCCTCATGTTGGCTTGCTATATGACGTACTCACTCATGAAACTTCCACCAACCCTGCAGTCACTTGTGCATTCTGATCATATATAATGCTAGATCCCATAGACAGTCGAATACCTGATTCAACCCTAACCCTTTTATCATACAAGAATAGGAAATAAGGCTATATCAAAGATTCTCAAGCTATAAAATCCAAGTTATGTACAACTATAATGTAACGCCCGGGTTTCGGGGCTAAGCATTTTTGACAATGTAATAGTCTAGGTCAACTATTGTAACTCTTTTTGAAGTAATAAAGATGAAATATTTGAGTATTATGTGAATTATGTGTATTTATGTGCTTATTATTTAATTATAAATGTATAATTAATAAAAATAAAAATAAGCATCAAAATTAAAGTGTGAGATAAGCCTGATATCTCTACATAAAGTTGTAGTGGTCGAAACAAGGATTCCGGGGATATAAAGCACACCGAAATCCAAGTTATAACGAAGAAGTTATGACCCGTCGAAGTTTCACGACGGAACCGGCGCGACACCGGGAAACGTAAATAGTGAACTTACGATAGAGCGAATTTTAACCTTAGAAATCTAAATGAAAGTCGGAGAATATGTTAAACTGAGAGTGTCCATAAAAAGAACGCCCAAATTTGACTTCGTATGAAGAAGTTATGAGATTTTAACGGACCAATCCTGTCCCGGCCTGTTAAAAATATAACTTTAAAAATAAAGTCAAGATTAACCGACGAAGTCTAAATGAAAGTTGTAAAGTATGTCTCCACCTACGCGTGGATATAAAGAACATCAAAAACAGAGTTCGTATGAACGAGTTACAAATTATAATAGCATATTTACGTATTAAAATAAAGTATAAATCACATATACGTACACACACACACACACACATATATATATATGTATATATATATATATATATACACACACACACACATACATATGCATATATCATTAGAAAGGTGTCGACGATGCGGTCATTATAAGACTAATGTTGAGTTCTTTCGACATTAGTTTAGTACAAATATCATTAAATCCATTTAAAATAGTATTATAGGGGGGTATTTAGTTGTTTTTATAACTAAAAGTGATGGGTTTTAGCCATAAGAACTTTCCTATGTGCGCATGCAAAACCCTAATGCTTGAATCTAGGATTTCTAATCAAACATGCTTTGAATTCAAGACTTCTAATGACTATTTAGGTGTAATAACAATATTGAAACAGATCTAGAATCATACCTTTGAATTCCTTGTTGATCTTGTTGTCTTGGAGCTTCTAGAGTCACAATTGTCACTCCTCTAATGGCTTACAAACACCAAATAGCAAGGAGGATGATTTGAGAGAGAGGAGAGGGGAGGAATTCGGCCAGAGTATCTTTACTTTAGATGTGTACCGAATTTTCTATCCCATAGGGTCTATTTATACTTGTAGACTCCTTAAGGGTTACAGCTTAAACCCTAATTGGATAACTTAGACTTTAAGTGTTCCTAATCCTTACTTTGATAACCCTTGGATGAATTTGAGGCTATCCCAAGCCCTAGAATTCGTCCATACTCTATCCAATAAGGATTTACAGTCTAAAGTGTAACTATCAAACAATTGACAGTTTATACCCTCTTATTTAATTAATATCCTTAAGTCACCAAATTAATACTAATTAATCTATGACTTATATTAATCAAATAACTATATATTATTCTCATAATATACTAATAATATTTACTCTCTATCAATAAATCATCCTATCAAGTTGCTATGGTGAAGGCAACCCAAAAGGACCATGCACAATCGGGTCAAATACTTGCCTAATATAGTTGCAGCCTTAGACACTATTCCAACAAAAAGGTCATTAAGTAATTATGGAGGGTAGTTTTTGAAAATTCAATTAGTATAAATAAGAGCCCTTGGCTCTCATATTTCTTGCACCATTCTTTTGATTCAAGAGTCTTTCTCTCCTTATCCCCCGAGCATTTCGGTCCCTCGTGATTCGACTTCTCTTTCTGTAGTTTTTAGTATAGTAAGGTGAGCGCTGAAGCACTGCACGAATCTTTCTTAGAAAGATTCATCGACGAAGTTCTGCCCTTGAAGAGCCCGACTTATAGCTAAAATCCCCTTGTAAGTAAGTTATGCTTACTGTGTTTTAATATAGCTTATATTTAAAATTAATATTGTTATTATGAACTTATAATAAATATTTGAGCTATTATTATGACTTATATAAGTGTCGTTATAATATCTTTTTAACTACTCGCGGTACGGGGAATCTGGTTTAAAGGACCGCATAGGGTTGTTGGATTTTAGAAGTGTTATACACCAAAATGGTCCTGCCCTCTGGTGTTTTATGTCTGGCCCCTGTCTGTATATAGTGGTTGGAAAGTATTGTTTAAATGCTTATATAATAATAATAACAATAAGACTAATAGTTAGTCACGGTAAATATTAGACTAAAATCTAGTGGTAATAATACTAGGTTTCGTCGAAGGAAATTATTTTAAAGTAAACGAAGCGTTGTCCGAGTACCGAATCACCATCTTTTCAAGTGAGTGCATAGTTACTTTCATCTTACACAT